AGCACCACTAGGTGTGGCCCAAGAAAAACAAAAACAAGATTCTTAGAATGACTCAAAGCCCAGACTGAAGGTGGGGAGTTGGGGAGGATCCTGCCCACCCCCCAGCTTCCCCTTTCTTTTAGCTGCCAGTGGGTTGGGCTGTGCCTGCTTCTTTGTGTCCTCATGCTTTTCTGTCTTGACTCGCAGGCCATGGGTGTGTATGGGGCCCTCACCAAAGCCCCAGTGTCGGGGGCCCAGGACTCCAACAGGAGCAACAGAGAGGTCCAGGGCACAGATGAGGATGAACTTGATCGAGTGAAGCTGAGTTAATGGAGCCACCAGCCTTGGCCAGGGAAGCTGGCGACAGAGGAGTAGCGCTTCCAGGCTCCAGCCTCCCTGCTGAGATTTTGGTTATTATTTTTTTATTTGAACTTTAATCATGTAATAAACTCGCCACTGGCAAACAGCTCCCGCTGTCCTCTTTGATTGGGAAATGAAGTTGGGGGAATCTGCTGTGTTTTCCTTGGCTGTCCCCCTCCACCATCCACACATGTTGAGACTTAGGCGTGGATTTCTCCATGAGCAAGAAGGAGCCTCATGGAAAGTGCTCTCATCCTTCTGCATTCAGAAGAAGCTGTGGGAGAGGGTAGAAGGATTGAGCCACATGTCTGCTCAGCAGCCAGATGGAAAGTGTAGTCTCCCTCCTGTTAAGTGTGGGGCTGAGAAGTGGAGGTAGGTGTTGGGGGGTGGGGGGTGTTTCATGGGAAAGGACTTCCTTGAAGACTGTGGTGGAGAAGAGGGTTGTGCCACACTCAATGCTCAAGGTTTACTCTTGGCTTTGTGCTCAAGAATCACTACTAACAGGACTCTAGATTGATATGTAGTGCTGCGGATCAAACCTGGATTGGCTGAGCAAGAAGACTGCTGTCCCTGCTGTACTATCACTTCAACCTTGCAATACTGTTAATAGTAGGGTTTCATGCTTACAATCTTCAAATACCAAACCCAGCACCAGAGTGTCCCCCTCTCAAACCTACCCCCTGAATGGTAAGTTGAGTCCTGTAAACCAGTTCTTAGGTTCTGTTTGCCTTTGGCCATTTGTAATTCCCTTACTATGTTTCTTTATATCCCACATATAAGAGAGATCTTTCTGTATTTTCTCTTCATACTCTTGAGCGTATCAGAGATTGAAGACATCCATTTATTCAAAAAACAATGGGGTTGAGGGCCAGAGTGGTAGTACAGTAAGTAGGACATTCGCCTTGCATGCAACTGGCCTGGGTTCATCCCCAGCACCCCATATGCCCCCCTAAGTTCACCCTGAGCACAGAGCCAGGAGTAAGTCCTGATCTGGGTGTGGCCCAAAAAAGAAGTTGCCTTGCGTGTATGATCCCCTGGGTTTAAAACAATAAAATAATGATGTGTACCACAGACTAAAAATCAGTTCGAGACAGTAAGCTACTAAAGCAACTGAGGCTCACGGGTCTGTTTTCTGAGAATCCAAGCTCAGGCAGAGCCCCCTGATGGTGCTAAGTGCTGTGACAGACAGAAATTCTGGCAGGGGGGAAGGTACAAGATCATGGACAGGTTGTCGTCTCTGCCACCATGGCTGGGAAAATGAATCCACCAGGATAGGATCTGGGACTAGAATAGGCAAGCCCACAGCTTTAGGAAGTTGGAATATTCAAAGAGTTGTTTATTGTGGCTGAAGAGTGTGGTGTGGGGGCCCTGTGATAGATAGCCATGTGATAGATGCCAGACAATTTCCAGTGGTTTTGTCCTTAGCCAAGCGAGGGACTGAGAAGAACCTTCAGAAGATTAAGGTGGTCACATGAGTTTTAGATTCAGCTGCCCAGTTACGATGTGCATGGGAGACTGGAAAGGCGGGAAGTCTGAAGGATAGTAAGAAGCTGCTTACTTCTGCATTGGAATTTTACATTTCTATTTGATAATTATTGCACTCCAACTAAATGTCAGACACTGAGCATAAGGAAATAAAAGAATCCCTTACTTAATGAACTTGCACTCTGTTTTTCTTCATTTGTTTTGTTTTTTTTGGGTTATACCCAGTGATGCTCAGGGCTTACTGCTGGCTCTGTGCTCAGGAATCACTTCTGGCAATGCTTAGGGGATCATATGGGGGTCCTAGGAATTAAACCTGGGTCAGCCATGTGCAAGGCAAGAACCTTATTAAATGTACTGTCCCTCTGATCCCAACCAATGAACTTTACATTCTATTTAGAAGGGTCCCTAGGACCAGAGCGATAGTACTGCAGGTTAGGTTCTTGCCTTGCATGTGGCTGACTCAGGTTCAACCTGTAGTACCCCATATAGTCCCTTGAACCTGCCAGGTGTGATCCCTTAGTGCACAACCCAGACTAAGCCCTGAATACCACTAGGAGTGACCCAAAAAAAACAAACAAAAAATAAAGTTAGGTTATTTGGGGCTAGAAGGAACAGCTCATTGATACGATGGATTGTGCTGCAGTCACTGGAAATTGAAAGGGATATTCCCTTTCAAGATTTGGGAATCAGGGAGATGGGGAACCTTAACAATCTATAGAGAGCTGCAGAAAATTGAGTTTATAGTGATGAGAGGGAGACCCATCTGGACATCTGGGAGTAAAACTGGTCAACCTCAAATGCAAAGGTCTTGAGGAAAGACCTGGAACTGGAAAAAAATGGGCCTTTTTCCACTCAGGAAAAGTCTGTGGTTACTCTTGAACACGTTTTCCTCTCTTTCCCCTCACATTGCCCTCTCTAAATTTCTTCCAATAAAAATGATTTCGAAAGGAGGAGGAGGAGGAGGATTCAGGTGTATATCTTCTGCGCATCTCACCCTAGTTTGATCCCAGCATTGCATGGTCCCCCATGCATTGCTGGTTATAATCATGGTGACCTCTGAGTACCATTGGGGTGGCCTTGATGGACCCTGGTAGTGCACCACTATATCCTCAGTTTGTGGCACAGAATCATCTGGCTGAGAACTGCTGGGAGCGACCTTGGGTCCTCAGCAATGTTTGGGAACCCCACCCCTCCACCCCCAAAAAGAGCAAAGAAGTGGCAGCTAGATGAAAACAGGAAGTATGTAGTGAGTGTGTGGGGGTGTCTATAGGAGCATAGGCTTTACTCTGAGATGAGAAGTCAGGGGAGAGGGTTTTGTTAGCTTTTATAGCTTAACTGAGATATAATTCCGTTTCAGTTTTCCCATTTAAGGTGAGAATTCAGTCATTTTTTCATATGATCACACAGCAGAACAACCACAATTGTAGGATGTGCCCTGCCCACGCAGATTCAGTTAGCAGGCACTTCTCTCCAGCCAGCTTTAGGTGTCTATTAACCTATGCTATCTCTCTGTGTTTATGTGTTCATATCACTGAGATAGTACAATGCATGGTGCACTACAATGCGTGGAATTTGTGACAGATTTTTTATCACTTTGCTTAACATTTCCCCATGGAGTAATATAGAGTAGTAGTACTTTGTGTGTGTGTGTGTGTGTGTGTGTGTGTTTGCGCGCGCACATGTGTGCACACTTGGGACACATCTGGTGGTGCTCAGTACTGACTCCTGGCTCTGCTGTCACGGATCCATGTGTGGTGCCAGGGATCGAACCTGGATCAGACATGTGCAAAGCAAGTGCCCTACTGACTGTACTATTGATCTGGCCCCCTCTTTGTCTACTTTAAAATTGAATTGTCTTGAGCTGGAGAGATAGTACAGGAGTTAAGGTGCTTGCCTAGCAGACCCCGGTTGAGGACCAGCACTGTATATGGTCCCCTGAACACCTCCAGGAGTGATCTCTAAGTGCAGAGCCGGAAGTCCTGAGAACCATTGGGTGTGGCCTCTAAACCAAAAATAAATAAAACTGTAAGGGTCCTGGGACCTTAAAGCTTAAAGAGCACATACTTCAAATGGCAGAGCCCTGTGATTAGATCACCCAGCACTGCACGGTCCCCCGAGCAGCTCTGGGTGTGGCCACAAAAACAAAACAAAAAAGCTGTAAGACTATCTACATTGCAAACCATTATGAACAAAAGGAAAGTGAGAGAGAGAAAGAGAGAAAAGTGCCTGCCATAGAGGTAGGGGGTATGGCAGGAAGGAAACTGCACACATTGATGGTGGGAAATGTACACTGGTGAAGGAGGAATGGGTATTGGAACATTATATAACTGAAACCCAATCATAAGCAACTTTGTAACTGTATCTCACTGTGATGCAATTAAAAAATTAATTAAGGGGCTGGAGCGATACACAGCGGGTATGGCATTTGCTTTACACAAGGCCGACCCAGGTTCGATTCCCAGCATCCCATATGGTCCCCTGAGCATCTCCAGTAGTAATTTCTGAGTGCAAAGCCGGAGTAACCCCTGTGCATTGCCAGGTGTGACCCAAAAAGCAAAAATATAAATAAATAAAAATTAAAAATTAATTAAAGATAAATAAAACAAGAATAAATTTTGAAAGAGAAAAAAACTGTAAGACTCGATTGAGAGACTTGAAGAGAACGAATAATAAAATCTTAGTCTTTTAGTTGGGAGTCCGTTAAAACCAAATATAGGGCCAAGTGATCGTTCAGTGGGTGTGGCATTTACCGGACACTCGGCTGACTGACTAGGGCTGAATGTCTTGCATCCCACATGGTCCCCCAAGCACCACCGAGAGTAATTTCTGAGTGCAGAGCTAGGAATAACCCCTGAGAACCGCTGGATGTGGCCCCAAAAGAAAAAAAATGTTGCTCGTCTATATTTTACAGATGATTCCAAAAATGACAGAGTGGTATAGGTAGGATTCAAGTTGAGACCAGAAACATGTTCTTCATGTAAAAGCTGCTTGAACCCTACTCCCCAGTCTCAAGCTCAATTTCTAGAATCTCCAACTAGCCTTCCAACTACGTCTCCTAGCCAGGCGCACTTTGCAGAACTTCGTCGGAGGTGCCGGCAGATGGCGCTGGGGGAGGCCCGGGAGGCCGCTCTGCCCGGTGCGTGCGCATCGGTGGTGCCAGGCAGCCGGTGCTGCCGCCACACTTCCGGGCGCCGGTCAAGGTGAGCCAGGGTTCCAGGACCCCCTTCGGCTTTCAGTTCGGACCCTCCATCCCTGCACAGCGCAGCTAGGGTGCCCAGTACCGGGGTCAGGGTGCCCACGCGGAGGCCGGGGAGGAACCGAAGGAGGCAGAGCCGCCTGGACGCCTGGGTTCTGCGCAGCCTACTCGGCTGCGAGCGAGGGGGAGACCGCGGCCCGGGGCTCCGGGCCAGCTGCACCGTCCGGAAGCCGTGCGTGACTCCTCCTCTTCGTGTTCTCGACCCCCGCCAGGCGGCGCCGTCACCCGCTCGGCGTTCGCGTGTGGTCGTCCCCGGGGTCTTAAGCTTCGGCTTGGAGAGCGGCTGTCAGCACTGTCAGCCCCCCTAGCGGGCTCTGCTTTTCAGTACCAGGACCTCCGGGACAAGGGCCGATCTACAAGGGTGTTCTGCTCCACCCACCGAAGATCAGTCCCTTGCGAGTCCTAGGAATCTGCATTTGTTTTTTTGTTGTTTTTTTTTTTACCCCCTAGCCGTGTGCTCAGGGGTCACATCCAGCGGTGCTCAGGGGACCACATGCGGTGCTGGCGATCAAACAGGGTCCAATTAAGGCACACGCCTTAACCCATTACTCTCTCCCGCCCCTGGGAATCAGCATTTTTTTTTTTTTTTTTTGGTGAGGAAGGGGGTGCTCAGGGGCTTACACCTGGCTCTGTGCTCAGGGGTCATTCCCGGCCTGCCTGTGGACCATATGAGGTGCTGGTGACTGAACAAGGGTGAACCTCATGCCAGACAAGCACCTTAACCACTGTACCGTTGCTTCAGCCCTGAAAATCAGCATCTTAAACATCACTCCGAGTTGAAGACCATATTCTTCAGAAACATTGGTTTAAGTGGAGAGGAAATTGATATGGGGTTGGTTACGGGACTGTTTGTCTTCAGAAAGGTGTCCAGGAGGATATGATTCTAGTTGGTCGTTATTGAGGAACCAAAATATCTGCTGGGTCCTGATTCCATTGTGATGACTTCCCTCCCTCCATCCACCCCCCAACTATCAGGATGCAGAAGATCTCAGTGCTGCTCTTCCTGACCTGGGTCAGCTTCATCTTCTACGCTGGCATTGCCCTCTTCACCAGTGGCTTCCTGCTCACCCGTTTGGAGCTCACCAACCATAGTAGCTGCCAGGAGCCCCCAGGCCCTGGACCTCTGCCATGGGGAAGCCATGGGGGGCCTGGAGGCTGCTGGATGGCTTCCCGGTTTGCCCGAGTCGTTTTAGTTCTGATTGATGCTCTTCGATTTGACTTTGCCCAGCCCCAGCACTCACGGGTTCCTGGGGTACCTCCTGTCTCCCTGCCCTTCCTGGGCAAGCTGGGTACCTTGCAGAGGATGCTGGAGACTCAGCCTCACCATGCCAGGCTTTACCAGTCTAAGGCTGACCCCCCTACAACCACCATGCAGCGCCTTAAAGCCCTTACCACTGGATCACTGCCTACTTTTGTCGATGCTGGGAATAACTTTGCCAGTTATGCTATAGTGGAAGACAATCTCATCAAGCAGTTCTCCAATGCAGGTTAGTTTGGGCGTCTGGGGCATATTTCTTTAGAAATCAGAGCACACGAGGGAAGTGGACAGTATCAAATGATGACAAACTGAGATGAGGATAGTGGTGGAGGGTTTGGGCACTTTGGTGTTAGTGAAGGTGCACTCACTTGATATATCAAAACGATGAAAATTGGGCCAAAGAGATAGTACAGTGGGTACTACTCTGTGGGATCAAACCTGGCTTTGATCCCCAGCATCCCATATGGTCCCCTGAGCACTGCCGGGAGTGATTCCCTAGTGTGGAGCCAGGAGTAACCCTTGAGCATTGCTGGGAGTGTGACCCAAGAAACAAAAAATTCCATGAAAGTTAACAATATTGTAACCACCCTGTTACCTGATCTGTAAGGAAAATGAAAAATTGAAGACTGTATAGAAGCAAAAAATCTGGGACTTCGGGTTCCTGGGGTACCTCCTGTCTCCTGTGTGTGGTGTGTGGTGGGGTATGGGGAGGAGACCAGAGCCTTGCTTGAGGGAGTGCAGCTCTGGATTTTGTCCATGTAGCTTTATGGGAGCTCTCTGTTTAAAGACTGGAGAGATAAAGAGAAAATAGGGGCTTGGTGATCTCAGCATGGAGGAGAGGGTGAAGGGAAAATGGAGCAACAGGGGCCAGTGAAATAGTTCAGGGGTTAAGGTGACCCCAGTTTGTTCTGTGGCACTGCATCTGGTCCCCTGAGCACAGAGGTAGGCGTAGCCTCTGATTTTTGCCTCTCTCCCCTGAAGCATCAGAATTGATCAGGAATGAGCAGAGGGGCTGGAGCAGCGAGTAGGGTGTTTGCCTTGCATGCAGCCAACCTTGGGTCCATTCCCAGCATTCCATATGGTCTCCCAAGCACCGCCAGGAGTAATTCCTGAGTGCAGAGCCAGGGGTAACACCTGTGCATTGCCAGGTGCGACCCAAAAAGAAAAAAATAAAAACAGAGCCTTGGGTAGAAGCAAGAAGGTGGGGGAATGGTGCAGTAGTAGAGTATTTGCCTGCCATGTTTGAGGTCAATTTCCAGCAGTGCCAAAAATCAAAAACAAAACAAGGAGTAAAGAGGTCAGGGATCAAGGGATCAGGTGTGGTGATCAAGGAAAGCTTCCCCAAATTCCTGAAAAATGTTCATCCTTAAAGGATAGAGCATGGCTGGATAGAATGCCTGCCCCAGAGTGCATTTTCCTACGGGCTCTTAAAGGCCTTATCTTCTCGTTTTCCCAGCTCTGATTCTGCTCATACTGTTGTCCTTCATTTGTCCCTGCAGGAAGGCGCGTGGTCTTCATGGGAGACGATACTTGGAAAGATCTCTTTCCTGGAGCTTTCTCCCAGGCTTTCTTCTTCCCGTCCTTCAATGTCAGAGACCTGCACACGGTGGACAACGGCATCCTGGAACACCTCTACCCAACCGGTGAGCATGGACCCAGCGCTGGCCGCTGGGGGCCAGGAATTGGGGAGGACTGCATCAGGTCTCAGAGTCTGTGCTCTCTGGGCTGTTGCCCCTGGACCTCAGAGCCTGCCTGGGGCTGAGAAGTGGCCCTTTGTCCCCTTTGCTCTGTGTTCTCCCCTTCACAGTGGACGGTGGTGAATGGGATGTGCTGATTGCTCACTTCCTTGGTGTGGACCATTGTGGCCACAAGCTTGGCCCTCATCATCCTGAAATGGCCAAGAAACTTAGCCAGATGGACCAGGTGATCCAGTGAGTGCGGGCTGTTGGCGGGGGAAGTGTGCTTGTGTCTGAGAAATTCCCCTTTCTGTGTGTACTGGCCAAGTTCAGTCTTCACCGTGTTGTGTTTCTGAAGCTGGAGGTCTCACCTACCTTTCATTTCTCGGCACGTGGCTTTAGTAGTCGGGTGGTGACCAAAGAGGTGTCACTGTTCCAAAGGTCAGCCCTTCTGGGGGAAATTATGGCTGAGGGTGAGTGTGCCCCACTCCGTGAAGAGCCTTTGTCCATCCCTCCCCTCTGGCACATTTCTTGTTCCTCAGGGGACTTGTGGAGCGCCTGCAGAATGATACACTGCTGGTGGTGATTGGGGACCATGGGATGACCACAAATGGGGACCATGGAGGGGACAGCGAGCTGGAGGTCTCGGCTGCACTTTTCCTGTACAGTCCCACGGCCCTCTTCTCCAGCGCCCCGCCAGAGGTGAGGCCTCAATATTCAACCTGGTGTTCAGCCAGATCGTAGCATCCTTATGGGACCCTCCATTTGAAGTCCCTAAATTCATCCCCTATCCCCCTGCCAAACACTGGCTTCAGCGCTGTGGGGAGCCTGCTGATCCCTGTTCATGTCCTCCAGGAACCAGAGGTAGTTCCTCAAATCAACCTTGTGCCCACACTGGCCCTGCTGCTGGGTCTGCCCATCCCATTTGGGAACATCGGGGAGGTGATAGCCGACCTGTTCTCAGAGGCCACAGACTCCCAGCCGCTCTCCTCTGCTTTGGCCCAGGCCTCTGCCCTCCATCTCAATGCTCAGCAGGTAGGTGCAGGGCTGTGCGTGGGGGAAGTGGAACGGCCATACCACCCCCCACCCCCGTCCTTGGTTTAGTCTCACTGCCACTGGCCACTGTGTGTCCTGCTTCTTCCCTCCCTTCCCTCTAGCTCCTCATCTCCTCGTCCCTGCTTTAGTATTTGCCTCTCTCCCAGGTGCCACCTCTGAGCCCTTCCCTCCGACCTCTGATTGTTTCTGCCAGGTGTCCCGATTTCTTCGCACCTACTCAGCTGCTGCTCAGGACTTCCCAGTGCAGGAGCTGCATCGTCTGCAGAATCTTTTCTCCAAGGCTTCTGCCGAATTCCAGCGGCTGCTGCAAAGCCCACAGGGTGCCGAAGCGGCCCTGCAGACTGTGATGATGGAGTTGCAGCAGTACCTGCGGGGAGTTCGGGCCCTGTGCATTGAGTCCTGGGCTCGCTTCTCTCTGGTCCGCATGGCAGGGGGTGCTGCTGTCTTGGCTGCTGCCTGCTTCCTCTGCCTGGTGGTTTCCCAGTGGGCCACAGCCCAGAGCTTCCATTTCTCCCCTCTTCTGATATCCATGGCCTGGGGACTGGCTGGGGCGTTAGTGTGTGCTGGACTATTGGTAACTGCCGGACACCGGCTGGATCCTGTGGTTCTCGGAGCCCTGGTCGCAGCGGGCTCACTCCTACCTTTCCTGTGGAAAGCCTGGGCGGACCGGGGGGCCAAGAGACCCCTCGCTGCCTCACTGCCCATCCCGGGAGCTATCCTGTCCCTCCTGCTCATTCGCTTCGCGTCCTTCTTCTCTGATAGCTTTGTGGTAGCCGAGGCCGGGGCCACCCGCTTCCTCTTGATCTCCCTCATTTTGCTCCTGGTGGCCCGGCTTCACTGGGAAGGCAAACTGCTGCCTGCTAAGCTCCTCACAGCCCCCCGCCTGGGCTCCGCGGGCCACCCAGTGCCCCCTCGGCGCCATGCCGTCCAGGCCCTGGGGCTGGGAGCTGGGTTGCTCTTGTGTATCAGGCTGGCCGGGCTCTTTCATCGCTGCCCTGAGGAGACGCCTATCTGCCACTCCTCCCCCTGGCTGAGTCCCCTGGCCTCCATGGTGGGGGGTCGAGCCAAGAATCTGTGGTACCTCGCCTGCGTGGGGTCCCTGGTGAGCCTGCTCATGGCTGTGCGGCTGTGGCTTCGCCGCTACGGGAACCTCAAGAGCCCAGAGCCGCCGGTGCTCTTCGTGCGCTGGGGGCTGCCCGTCATGGCCCTGGGCATGGCTGCCTACTGGGCCCTGGCATCGGGGGCAGAGGAAGCACCCCCCCGGCTCCGGGCCCTGGTGGCCGGGGCATCCATTGTGCTGCCAAGGGCTGTGGTGGGGCTGGCCGCTGCGGGCCTCCTGCTGCTGCTCTGGAGACCTGTGACAGTGTTGGTGAAGGCGGTGTCCGGTGCCCCAAGAACCAGGACAATCCTTACTCCCTTCTCAGGCCCCCCCACTTCCCAGGCCGACCTGGACTATGTGGTGCCACAGATCTACCGACACATGCAGGAGGAGTTCCGGGGCCGCCTGGAGCAGGCCAGGCCCTCAGGCCCACTGACCCTGGCTGCCTGTCAGTTGGGGAGTGTGTACTCGGCTGCTCTGGTCACCGCCCTTACGCTCCTGGCCTTCCCGCTCCTGCTGTTGCACGCAGAACGCCTGAGCCTGGTGTTCCTGCTCCTCTTCCTGCAGAGCTTCCTCCTCCTGCACCTCCTGGCGGCTGGGATCCCCATCCGCACCACGGGTAAGTAAACCTCCAGCCATGAAGCACCCAGGGACCGTCCAGCCCCTCGTTTGCAGGCTGATGTTGCTCCCCAGCTGGTTGGCCTTGACTTGGAACCTCAGGCCCCACGCAGCTGGGGGGAAGGGAGGAGAGGGGTCTCAGAGTGCTTGCGCATCTGCAGAGGAGTTCAGGCCTCCCTTTGGTTCTGGGGTCTGCAGGGTTCTTGCGGGGAGAGCAGCCAAGAGAGTTCTGAGGTCTGTCCTTAAGGAAATGATGCCTGCTCACGGGGCCATTTTCTTTCCTTTGTTTTTGGGCCACACTCGGCAGTACTCAGGACTTCCTCCTGGCTCTGCACTCAAGGAGCACTCACTCCTGGCGGGCACGGGGGACCATATGGGGTGCCAGGAATCGAACCCCGGTTGGCTGCGTGCAAGGCAAGCGCCCTCCCCGCTGTACTATACTCTGGCCCCATGAGGGCATTCTCTTAACTTTCCCATTGTGGAAGTAGTAAGTTATCTGTACCTAATAGCCGTGTGCAAATGGGGGTGGGTGAGAGAGTGATTGAGCATATCAAGGTTCATCTGAACCCCACGTCGCCCAAAGGGTTCAGGTCACGGTGTGGTCAGCGATGGTCAGGATGATGTGCCATCAGCCGTGTGGGTGTGAGCAGTAATGCTCAAGTGGCAGGAGCAGCTGCTTGTGGGGCCGTCGCAGGTTAGGAAATGTGAAAGAGGCCATCCTTTTCCCGCAGGTCCTTTCACTGTGCCGTGGCAGGCGGTCTCTGCGTGGGCCCTTCTGGCTGCACAGACCTTCTACTCCACAGGCCACCAGCCTGTCTTCCCAGCCATCCACTGGCATGCGGCCTTTGTGGGCTTCCCAGAAGGCCACGACTCCTCCACCTGGCTGCCTGCTCTGCTGGTGGGCGCCAACACCTTTGCCTCCCACCTCCTCTTTGCAGGTAATTCCTCATTTCTCCCACGCCTCCATTGCTTTCTCTAAATTTGTAGAAGGAAATTCCTGGATTTCAGTTGGGGGATAGGGGTTTTGTCGGATCTTTGGCACCCCCCGGAGCTATGCTAGTCAGAGCCTGAGCCAGCCACTTGGATAGTTAGGAAATAGCTGGTGGGCACCCACTGGGCCTTGGGACCTTCATTCGTTTTCACCCTGCTTGCTTCTGAGGCAGTGGGCTGCCCTTTGCTCCTGCTGTGGCCCTTCCTGTGTGAGAGCCCGGGGCCCCGGAAGCAGCGACCACCACCAGCCAATGAAGCTGAGGCCAGAGTTAGGTCAGAGGAGGAGGAGGAAGAGGAGCAGCCACTGATGGAGATGCGGCTCCGGGACGCACCTCACCTCTTCAACGCGGCGCTGCTTCAGCTGGGCCTCAAGTACCTCTTTGTCCTCGGCATTCAGGTGGGTGAGGGTGAGGTCCTGGGGTGCATAGCCTGTTCTCATGTGCGCACATCACAGTCTTTATCTCATACTTCCCCAAAACTCCAGGAGAAAGATTGGACTGAGGTGCACCTGAGAGGTAGCGCCTTCGACAGCAATGTTGAGACTTGAGCCCAAGTCTCCATCCAAGCCTGGGAACTGTTACTTCTCTCCAAGCTAGACCAGAATAGCTGGCTATACTGAGGGCTATTCAGTGTTGGGCGGACCAAGCAGATGGCCAGGGTTCTGTCCCAAGCTGAGACAGACCCTCCTTCCTGCAGATGCAGAAGGTACCTTCCTCCACCCCTGGAGGCAGAGCCTGAGCATCAGTGAGTGGCAGAGTGGGACGTGGTTGCTCAGAATCATGCAGAGAGTCCAGGGAATCAGGGCAGGAATGAAGTTTTTATGCCTCTTGGCATATGATTCATTCCACTGACACACCTGGCTTTCCTCCTTGGCCCCGTCTTCACAGGCACCTCTGGTGGCTCTCTGTTGGACCCACTGCCACCTCCCCTTTCCCCAGGAACTTGACCTCCTCTTCTTTCCCTTAGATTCTGGCCTGTGCCTTGGCAGCCTCCATCCTCCGAAGGCATCTCATGGTCTGGAAGGTGTTCGCCCCCAAGTGAGTGGATTTGCCTGAGGGGTAGAGGCAGTGGGGAGGTGGCGCCTGGAGCACAGACTGCGTTCGGAGTGGGGAGGGTTTCGCCTCTGCAGGGAATAGCCTCTGGAACTGCTCTCCGTGTCCCCTGAGATCCTCCCCTCTCTCTGCAGGTTCATCTTTGAGGCCGTGGGCTTCATTGTGAGCAGCATGGGACTTTTCCTGGGTATTGCATTGGTGATGCGAGTGGACAGTGCTGTGAGCTCCTGGTTCAGACAGCTGGTTCAGTCCCACCAAAGGTAGCTCAGGCTGCAGGTGCTGGCCTCTGGCCCTGGGGAAAGCTGGAGAGCTGTCTGGCCTGGCCCACACGGGTGCTGGATCATCTGCAAGAGCAGCTTAGCCATGCCTCTTGCTACCACACTGCCTGGAGCTCCTGGCCTCTGAGACTTCACTGTTTTATATTCAGGATCATAAGGGGCAGCCTGCCGCCTGAGTCCTGTTTTGGAGGCATCCAAAGGACTGTGCTGATAGGATACCTCCAAATTGGAATAAAGTAATAATGGAAGTATGTGCATCTCAGATGCTGGGCAGGAGGGTCCCTCCTATTCTATAGGGGGAAGGGGCAGACCCAGAGATCAGCCATCTGATACAGACTTGACTCCCTCTGGGAACCGCGGGGAAGTGGCTGGAGTGGACTGGTTCATGCCTGCCTCTTCCCAGCTCATTCCTCGTATTGCACCTCCATTTCCCTTTTAATGCAACATGTGTGATGACAGATGGCTGAAAAGCAGCGCCAGCATGAGGGAAAACACAGACTTTCACTGTCTAATGCCCCATATTGTGTGCTTTTTTTTTTTTACCCCCTCTACATGTTCTTTCGCTTGACAACACCCTTTGCCCTTCATCTGAGGTGGTTAGACCAGGGAACTTGCTCAGAGTTCTGGAACACATGCTTGGGTTTCAGGAGCCCCGGGTTCAATCCCCTGTACATCATGGTCCTCCAGTTAAAGTGCTTATTTTGCATGCCCCCGGTTTGATCTCTGCACCACATATGTTCCCCCGAGCACTGCCAAGAGTGACCCTTGAGTGCAGAACCAGTATGGCAAAAAAGCACCACAAGAGTGGCACCCCAAGTACTACTGGGTGTGATCAAAAAGGAAACATTTCTGTGAAAGCTTCCCTGGTTTTTCAATCTATGCTGCCTTTTATTTTTATTTTTTTATTATTTTCTTTCTTTTTGGGTCACACCCAGTGATGCTCAGGGGTTATTCCTGGCTCTGCACTCAGGAATTACTCCTGGCGGTGCTTGGGGGACCATATGGAATGCCGGGATCAAACTCAGGTCGGCCGCATGCAAGGCAAACACCCTACCCACTATGCTATCGCTCCGGCCCCTTATGCTGCCTTTTATCAGACCGACTTGCCTATCTTACACGGCATTCCACTGTGTCCTATGGCTCATTCCTGACTTAAAACCCAAAATTGCTTGGGCCTAATGCTTTTCTTGAGTGTCTCCTGTCTCCTTCCTCTTCCTCCTCACTACACATGTGTCATGATAAAGTGAGAAAATGTTGTGGAAATGTCTATTAAAGGAGTGAGGAAGAAGCTCTTAGGAGAAGGGTCGTTCAAAGGAAGGTTCAAGAAACCCAGGGAAGAAGGAGCTAAGACTTCTGAAAGACAAAAAGTGTTGGGTTCTGGTAGGAAGAAGCAGCTCGGCAGCCATGATTGTGGAGTCAAGGCCCTGCTGGGGGCAGAGTTCCAGTCACTCTTACAGGTCAAAGATGACGGTGTTGATCTGTGTCTCACACTGGAGGTTAGGACATTGGTATCCCCTGCAGGTTTAGTGGAGGAGGAGATAATGCCAGGCCCCAGCTACAAAATAAGAGAGAGCAGAGCCCCTTAATCTGGTGGACGGAGCTCACAAGCATTCTTTAATGAGCAGTGTCCCTGGGAGAAGACTTGAGTGCCCATTGTGCCCCATTCCCAGCACTGGAGGGAAGGACTTCGGAGCCCAGCCCACCCCTCACTCTGCCCTCAGACGTGATTGCTGGCCCCAATCTTGGTGCCTAAGGATAATCTGATTGCAGTGCTAGGAATTGGTCCAAGTCCTCTCCTGTGCAAGACTTACACCTCCATTGTGGACCATCCACCACCGAGCCACATCCCTAGTCCCATTATTTATTTGGTTTAAGGCCAGCACCCAGAAATTCTTGGGAATTACTGGCTCTCTACAGCTCAGGAAACACTCTGGTGGTGCTTAGGGGACCATAGGGATGCTGAGGATCAAACCTGGTCGACTGCATGTAAGGCAGCACCCTACCTTTTGTAGTGTCGCTCTGGTCCTCCACTATTTCTTTTATCTCTATATTTTTTAATTGGGGGGGCACACTTTGCAGTGCTCAGGGGCTACTTCTGGCTCTGTAGTGTGTGTGACGGGGGGACGGGGGGGGGGGGTGCTTCTGATGTTCCAGGGAATATGCAGTACTGGGAATCGACCCTAGGCCTTCTGCATACAAAACATGCTGCATACAAAACATGCATTCCACCCCTTTTAGCCACCTCTCTGCCTCACTACAAGATTTTTAGAGATACTAGCACATTGATTTGCATTATTAAAATGTTACTGTTTTGGGACCAGACTGGGTAATGTTCAAGGGGTACTCTCAGCTAATGCTTTGGTGGTTCTTGGGAGACCAGGAAGTGCCAGGGACCGAATTTGGGACTCTGGCATGCAAAGTATGCATTCAGTCCTTTATACTATCTCTCTGTCCCCAAAATTATTCTTTTTTTTTTTTTGGTGGGGGAGTTGGGCCACGCTCAGGGTTTACCCCTGCTTTGCACTCAGAGTTCACTCCTGGAGGGGTTTGGGGCGCCATATGGGGGCCAAGGATCGAACCCAGGTCAACCACATACAAGGCAGATAGTCTACCCACTGTTCTTTTGCTCCAGCCCCGACATTATTTCTTTTTTTTTTTTAAATCCCTTGGCATTCTAGTGTAGTGGAACCCATTCCATTCTAATCTATAACTTCTGCCCCACCCCCAGTTTTATTTTTGGCAGTTTTACCATTTGGTCCCTATGACAGGGGACACATGAGCAAGGAGCCTTGGATCCACTACAGGAGTAGAACCTGGTTTATTGAAAGCAGTGTTTCCTGTGGGCAGAGCGATAAAGTGGGAAGGGCGTTTGCCTTGCACGCGGCTGGCCTGCATTTGATCCCCGGCATCGCATATGGTGCCCCAGCATTGCCAGGAGTAACTCCTGAGCATTGCCAGGTGTGACCACTAACCCCCCCTCAACCCCCCCCCAAAAAAAAGAAAAAAAAAGCAGTGGTTCTTTAAGGCATCTGGGATCAAAGATGCTAAGCAGGTGTTAAAATTCAATGTTATGACAAGGTAAAAGACCAAGCATTTCAGGAACAAGTCCATTCATACGCTCATTCTCGGAGAGGCCAGGTAGTCCTTATGTTGATTGGCAATTATCTAGCCAAAGCGGTTTTCTGTTTAGCTCATTGTGTTTCCCTCTTGTGGTGGTTTTTCACTTAACTGCTTCTTATGGTTCCTTCATTTATTAACATCATGCTTTGCATGCAGGAGGCCCAGGTTTGAGATCCGGCATTCCAGAACTAGGAGTAGCCCCTAAATATGCCAAAGATGACCCAAAAACCCAAAATAAAAAGCCTCCCCCCCAAAAAAAAAATTAACACACAATTTACCATAAATTTTACACAATCAACTTGGCATTTTCATCAACAAAAGAAACTCGATACTCTAACACCACCTAATCCTTCTCACTTCTAATCCTAGCTAAAGATCCAGTCATAATACTTTGTGACTATGCAGTCCACCTTAACTGCTGTTTCCCTTTTCATGCTCTCAGCTACCTGTAGCCAACAAAAATTCAGTATGAGAGGCAGAGATGTGGACTGGAGAGATAGTACAGGAGATAAGGCATTTGCCTTGCATGCGGCTGTTTCAGCCATGCCCCTGCTCAGTGCCCAGCACGTATATGGTCCCCTGAGCACAGAATCAGGAATAAACTCGAGTACTACCACGTATGGCCCCAAAACAGTAGATACAGATTTTTTTGTTTAGAGTATTTTGGCAGGGGATCAGGAAGGTGGGGGAGCACACCTGGAGGTGATTAAGGGCTACTCCCAACTCAGCTCTGGAGTCCTCCCAGCAGTGCTCAGCTGATCGTGGGTCCTGGGGTTTCAGTCAGGCTTTAGGCATGTAGAGCTTGTTCCAGGCCTTTGAGCTCTCAATTCCCAGTATTAGACATTTTGAGAGAGATGTCCTCTCGGAGAGCCCGGCAAGCTACAGAAAGTATCCTGCTTGCATGGCAGAGCCTGGAAAGCTCCCTTATTCGATATGCCAAAAACAATAACAAAAAGTCTCAATGGAGATGTTACTGGTGTTGCTCGAGCAAATCGATGAACAACAGGAAGACAGTGCTACAGTGCTACAGATATTTTGAAAGACCATAGTCACACCAACACAGTATATTGTTGTAATTACCCCAATGTATTATTGTTGTTGTTGTTAAACTCTTACTATACCTAATTTATAAGTTAAACTTTATCCTGGGTATGTGTAGGGGAAAACTGTATAGGGCTTGGACTCTCCAGGTTTCAGGCATCCAGTGGAACAAAGACATCATGGACAAGTGATTACTAGTTTATGTTTGATCATTCTAGATGTTTCATAGAACTGGGATAACATAATGTAAGGCCTTTTCTGACTGGCTTCTTCCATTGGCAAAATTTTTTAAGGTTCACCCATCTAACAGCATGTATAGGTACTTACAAAGTGTGTAGTCTAGGTGGGCACAATGCTATGTACGGAGGCACAAATTCTGTACTCAGAGTGCTGCGTGGTCCCTTAGGACAGTCACATGGGTTCTTGTTTGTTTGGGAAGGGTGGACTTGGGCCACACCCAGTAGTGCTCGGGCTACTCCCTGCTCTGTGCTCTAGAGTTATTCCCAGCAGTGCTCAGGGAAAGAAGCAGCAGCAGCAGTGGTGGCAGATGCAAGGGAAGCTCCTTGACCCCTATATTTGCTCTGGCCTCTCACCATGTGTTCATGTGTTTTTTTCTTTTTGTATGTGTGTGGTGTTAATTTTCTTTTCTTAAAAATTATTTTCTTAAAAAAATATTTAAAAAGAAAAATAGAGAAAAATTAAAATGTTAAATTATTTTATTAAAGATGTTTTATTGAATCACCGTGAGTTACGAAGTTATTCCTGATTGAGTTTCAGGTATATTCCAACACCAATCCCTTCCTGAGTGCCCACTTCCTTCCACCACTGTCCCAGTTTCCCTTCACCCTTGAGCATGCCTCTATGACAGGCACTTTTTTTGGGGGGGTTACACCTGGTGATGCTCAGGGGTTACTCCTGGATCTGCACTCAGGAGTTACCCCATTGCCCACCCCGGCTACTGGGCTCTTGCCCCTTATGCTGCCTTTTATCAGCACTACCCCTTGTAGTGCTCGGGGGACCATATGGGATGCTGGGGATTGAACCCAGGTCAGTCACATGCAAGGCAAGCACCCTATCCACTGCACTATTGCTCCAGCCTCCCTATGACAGGCACTTTTGCTTTTTCTTTTCTTCCCCTCAACCCCACACTTTTAAGCATTGTGGTTTTATAATATTTTACTATTAGGGTATCATGCATGTCAGCATGTCACTTTATTCTTATTTTCTTTCTTGGTTTTGAATTTCACACAGCAGTGCTCACTGGCTGTTCCTGGCTCAGGTAATCAGGAGTGAACCCTGGCAGTGCTCAGATAACCATATGTGGTGCCAGGGATTCAAGCTAGGGGTACAGCTACCACAGCCACATGGAAAGCAAGTACCTTACCACCTGTACTATCTCTTTTGCCCCCTCCCTTTAAAAATTATTTTTATTAAAGTAATGTTGCATTATAACATTATGTAAGTTTCATATATGCATCATTAGAAATCAGAATGTGGGGGCTGGAGTGATAGTACAGCGGGTAGGGCGTTTACCTTGCACATGGCCCACCCCGGTTCAATTCCCAGCATCCCATATGGTCCCTTGAGCACCACCAGAAATAATCCCTGTGCATCG